GGAAGGAGTACCTTTACTGTTGGATGGCGGTCTTCTGAATGACCGTGAAGATTTACCCAGTAGTTCATCATTAACTGCTTTCGTCTGATTTGTAACGGCATTTCACCCACTTCAACCTGAAGAGCATATACAGGAGTCGTTTTAAAAGCACCACAACAAAGTCTCAAAGCTTGAGCTTGTCCAGCTTCTTCAGTAAAGTTTTTGCTGCCGAGTCGTAAACAATACTTCCGTAATCTAACACTGATCTAATCAGTGCTATATAAATACTTTTCATTGCAGCTCTGCTCCCCACTCTGATCCTCTTAGACATCTCATTACATTTAAAATATTTTTACATTTAGTGTCAATCTTTTGAATATGTTCGTTCCATGTTAATTTTGTGTCAAACCACACACCCAGAAACTTAAAAACTTTAACTTGTTCAATAGTTTGTCCATACATCTTTATCTGTGTGTCAATCTTTGGCAGTTGTAGCACCTCATTGGCTTTGGAATATATTCTCTAACGTTATAGCTCAAAAATCCTAACGTCACTTTTTTGGGTAGCAATTCCTCTTCAAAATCAAGTACAACATACTCACTGTCTTTCCTCACTCCCTCTCAAGTTATTTGTATCCGCCGAGCACCTTTCAGAATTCCTCCTTTTAGGTTTGATTTAATTTCCTCCATTGAGACTCCTACCGGAGCTCCCCAAATCACTCCTTTACTCCACTTATTTTCCCTTTCCACACGACTTGTATTTATTACTTTAAATTGTCCTATTTCCTTAATTCTGCCAGCCCTCTCCCTCTGCTCTTCATTTCTACAAACAATCAGTAGATTTCCATCTCTTAAAACCTTTGCCATATGTATGTCGCCAATCTGGTTTCGCAAAATAGTTGTCAATTTCACTGGACTCATTGATGATATTCCCTTCTCCTCGCCGAATCTCAGTATCATTTTAAATTTCAAACTTTCATGGTCACTCTCTTCTACTCCTCTTTCAAAACTTCGACTACGCCTGGTTTTCTTTGCTCTAATCCCTTCAAAAGTATTTTCTCTTTTCTCCCTCATTTTTCCGCTTCCTTGACTTGTTTCCATACTATCCTCACTATCCACTATATTAGAATCTCCCCACTCTGGTCCATTCACAACACAGCTGTGCTTACCCGCCACAGCTTTCTTCTTTTCATTTGACTTTCCCATTCTTATTATTTTTCCCCTTTTCCGACCTCCAGTTGATAAACATGCTTTTCTTCCAAGATCATCGGTTAAATTTCCGCGATTTTTTAATTTAGAAGTTTTGACCATATAACTCTTGCCGG